CAAACGTACAAATTTATTTTTGAACCAAAAAAAAACATAACCTCCTTTCTTAAGGCCCCTGCACAGACCATAGTCCCTCCCAAACCCCTGCCGAGAACTTCGCGCACTAGTTCCGTCTGTGAGTCGACTGAAGAAGCCTCCAGCGCCCCCAAACCGGTGGCCAGACCTCGTACTAATAGTTGCGTTCCCATTGTGACGTCTGTGAATCCCAACGGCCCTATCGGTGGTTATAAGGTTAACAAGACGTGTTTTTTTTGTTTTTTTTTGTTTTCATGTGATTTGCCACTTTTTTGCCATAGTTTTAGATAGTAAGTTTGTTTTGAGTGTCTTTTATTTCAGCTTTACTGTAGTTAATTGTAGATACAATGAAGAATCAGTTACTTAGTTTTATATTATTTAAGCTTTGTTTATATTCATTTTTTAGTGACTCAATGTTGCCCAGTGTTTGGTTCTGTATTTTTTTATATATTTTGTTGCTGAATAATAACTGAAATGTGTCTGGCAGTTAATAATTTTATTCATATTTTCTTTTGCAGCCTCGTCTTGGCCCCAAGCCGTTTACTCCTCCAAACTTAAATGATACTGAAAATACGTTTAGTAAAGTATTCTGTGTCCCACCTGTTCCAGGACAGGCAGCGTCCAATGGTGTCACTGGGAATACAAGGTAGGATCACGTGTAAAAATAGTTAAGATATGTAAATTTAAAATAATATTTTATTCCAATATACATAATCTTATAACTTTATTAAAACATTGTGCTTGCAATGCTCTATTAGTTGACCCACTACAATCTGCAATTAAGATGGCGCTGCTGTAGCTAAAGTTCTACATTTGAAAGAAAGCGTCAAGCAATATTAAAACCGGAAATAATTAAAAGGATATACAGGGTTGTTCACCACAAACGACACGGAGTATCGTAGCTAAACGATTAAATTTTTACAAATTGTAAGTTTTGGGTTCGTTGAAGGACTATTAGACCTACAATTTAAAAATATTTTTACAAGATACAGAGTGTCCCAAATAAATAAAAAATGTCAAAGTTCTATTTTTCTAAATGGAACACTCTGTATATGTTTCCATTTTTAGCTTTTACGATTAAAATGAAGGTTAATTTGATTAAGGTTTATCACACTTAAACCTTACCGTTTTTGAAATATTTTCAATTTTGTGAAATTGCGGTAAAATTTTAAGGCTTTATTTCTCCAACGGTATCAAAGTTTTTAATACTAAATATTTTCTGAAGTTTATTTATTGCTTAATTATTGTGTTGCAATAATACTACCTCATACAGAGTGTCTAAAAATTTATTTTAAATAAATTTTTGCTTTAAACGGCAATAACTTCCTTAATTTAAATGGAACACCCTATATATTTTAGGAGAATCAGATGCACAATTTAATTGCCTATTAAATTGTTTTATACCATTTTTACCTATCCCTTCGAGTTTTCGTAGAAAATGCATTTTCTTATAATTTAGACCTCATAAAGATCGCGGCGCGGCGGCGCACAGTGTTTTGAAGTATAGGGGAAAGTGGACAAAAATGGAAAACTCGATTTTCACCGCCAGAAAATGTATTTACTTACATTACTAATAAAGGATAACATAATATTTTATATTGTAATCTAATTTTTATGATATAAAAATAAACTAAAAATATTTTTGGCAAAAAAAAATAATTATAATTTTTATAAATATGGAAAAAATCTCCTGCAGCCCAAAGGGTAATTATTTCTCATTATTAGTAAATAACAAATTAAAAACAAAATGATCTCCAACCCAGTGTGAGTACATATGAAAGTAAAACCTTTGACGAGGGGTAGGGGACAAAAAACGCATAATTTTTTAAGATGTTTATTTAAATTTAATTTGCTTCAAAAAAAGAAGGGGGGCGACATGTTTCGGGACTTAACAATTCCCATCTTCAGGCCCAAGAAAGCTAAAATAATTACAATCAGAATAATAAACAAATTCCAATAGTCATACAGAAGTCAAAAAATATAAAATACAATCACAAAAGAAATTAAAAGGTTAAAGAATTTTTTTCAAAAAAGGTTAAAAAGTTATTTCTATCACAATTATTCAATCACAGATAACATTATAGCAAGCTCAGTTTGAAAATTAAGACAATTAAATTAAAATCATAAAGGGCAATAATTTATGTTCAACAAAAAACAAAAAAACGAAAAAACTTCAAGAACTTTCTCACCTGGAAACGACTTTCTTCTTGTAAAAACGAATCAACTTCTTCAGAACAATCTTCTAAATGTAAACATAACTTAATTTTTTTACAAATTTTTGCCACTGTTTCACATTTGGCATTATTGTACCTACCATTGTTCAAAAATCTTTTATTTTAAGTACTGCACAAAAAAATCGAAACCTTAAAATATCGCAGTTTTCCGCAGAAACCATAGAGCTATTTTCCATAGAGCGCTACACTGTGCGGCAGAACAAATCTTTTAAAAATCCCTTACGTGTATGGGCGGTTATTCTTGGGGCGTATGCAAACCTTGATATGTCATCTATTTTTAGCCGACCATACCAATAGGTATGGTAGGCTATTAAGATCGGCAAAAAAAAGTTTTTTTAATTTCACTCAAAATGAGTTATTTGGGTCATAAATGACCTAAATACAAAATATTTTCTGTCTGTCTGTCTGTCCGTCTGTAACACGATAACTTAAAAACCGCTAAACCGATTTTAACCAAATTTGGCACAAAAATACTGTGGCACCCGAGAATCTGGCCATTAGTTTTTGGTGGGGGTGGGGGTTGGTAAGGGGGTATGGGAGGGGTTAAAATTTTAAAAAAATCGTAACTCCAAAATTACAGTAGCTAGCGAAACGCGGTTTTCAATTTAAGATTAGGAATAATATTTGCAACAAAATTTGTAATAACATCAAAATCAGTCAAAGTCGCAGATTTTGAGATATTCCGTGTTTCCGTAGTCCGTTTTTGAGAAAATCCGTGTGGAGAACTCCAAACTCCCATCGGACGCTACCCCCGGTGGCGGATAGGGGAAATAACGGCGGACCTTATTAACATATTTTAGTATGGGCGGCTATACGTGCCTCCCGGCGCCAATTTTTTACAATGTTTTTGCAATTTATTCTAAAGTACACTTGTTATGTTGTCTAAATTAGTGAAGCTGTGGTTACGCCTGAACAAGAAAAGGAAAAATCGCCGACAAGTGACACTGAACCCACGCCACTGAAACAGGACAATGAAAACAGCAAATCGGGATCTAGTGGCGAAGAGGAGACATCTTGCGATTCAGGTATGATATACATCAGTAATACAATGTTTTGAGTTTGAAAAATAGTTATTTGGAGTTTCTTGTACTGAGTGATATTTGAGTAGTACTTTAAATCATTTTTAAAACACAAATCTGCTTTATGTCATTTTATTCTAATTTGAAACGTATATTTAAACTATGTGGTGCCCGGTGGCGTAGAGAGGTACAGCCATAAAATAATTAACTAAAAAGAAGTGTCAACTCTGTGTTAAATCGTGGAAACACGATACGCCACCGAAAGCCTTCGTTGTCGTCTGGAGAACTAATTTTCCAATTGACAGGTTGACATGATAAGGACATGATGGCTAAATTTTCATTTCCGTTTCCGGTTATTCAATGGCAGGCCCTCTTTCAGTTCAAATGTATTTTGTATTTTTCTTTTCATAAATAAAACCAAAAAATAATTTATTCACATATATTTATTTGAAATATGGAACAACGTGACTAAATAAATATAAAAATATAGAGGATTGTTTTGTTTTAATACCAATTAGTTAATTATATGCACTTTTACACAGGAACATGAAAACGGGAGCCTTATACAAAAACCTGAAAACAGAAAAACAATTTTTTTATACTAAAATTAACAATGTAAAAATATCAATAGTTATAAAATATAAATATACTGTTTAAAAAAAGCGTCCATTATTCCCAAAGAGACCTTATAAATGGCTTATAAATCAAAAAGAAGCAAAAAGAGACTTTTAGTCGGATAACATAATCAGATTATCAGTCCGATTTATTGCATTATTGACAATAAATCGCACTTACTGGAGATAACTTATGTTGGCTATAGTTAAAAATGATCTTACCTTGCTGTAAATTGTTTCCATTTTCAAAAAAATCGCCGATCAAAGAGATTATAACACCATTTTCTTGCATGTAAAAACAGTGTTTATTTACTACCTATTTTTCATATACATGGGACATACCTACTACTGCAGAAACGTCATTTTCTCCAGGATTCTTCATGTAATATATATTTTATATACTTTATTACCTTTATATTTATAAATTTCAGCCGAAATATTAAATTGAACTTCCAAATCGAAACTAAACGGAATGAATTAAAATGGCGTCGAATATTTTCTAATTTGTTCTAGAACAAATCTGAAGTTGTCTCTGAAACTGAAATCTGTCAATTCTAAACTGTGAAGTTAGACAAAATCAATGCTGTCCTTGTCTAGGCGGCCATACTTGTCGTGAGGAGAATGACAGGAATGTTTGCAGGAATGACACTAATGACTGTTTCCAATTTTCCTATTTCACTGTCACCCCCCTGGGTACAGCTCTCGTCTATCAATTCAAAGGTTGTGGGTTCGAATCCTACAGCCGGCTATTTTTAATAAAATAAAAATAGTTTGGGTACCTAGGTCGACTCAGCCTTAAATGAGTACTTGGGATTCACAATCCTGAGGTAATAATAGGCGGTTGAAGCCTAATGCTAGACACATTACCTCCATTGTATACCGAACGGCTCTAGTATGGCAAGCTGTACCTTGCTACTCCCAAAGCGTTAAAAGCTATATACGGGAGCTATTATTATTATTATTATATTTAAACTAAATTCAAATGTGTAATGGATAAAATGTCTTGGTCAAAAATTTTGGTATGCAAAAATCCACTCTAAGTTGGCTCACACGTAGATAACGATAAGTTTAAACGTTAATTTTGTTCAGAAATGTTAATCAAATGAATATATTGTATCAGCTTTTCTTGTTGCACCACCAGAGACAAAGGGTGTGTGTGTGTTTGAGAGAGACAGAGAGAGAAACAGACTATGTAATATATAACTTATGCGCAGAGAAATAAATGTATTTCTGGTTTGCAAACTGTTTTAGGAATGAATATAATTGTCAGCAGATATTGTCCTCTGAAAGTATATAAATTGTATTATGTGTAGGTTATATTCCGAAAACACCCAGCACAGCGGAAAGAAGAAAACTATTTGAAACCCGTACGAGTTCAAAAGAAAATGAACCTGAGGACAATTTCGATGCTGTCGATCAAAGTGGGAATTTTGAAAGGAATTCGTTACAGAGGAACAGCATTGCAGAAAGACGAAAACTTTATGAAAGGTTTGGTTCATAATTTTGGAATTTTATATACTTGTATAGGAACGCACTTTTTTATTTTCAATCATTCTAGATCGCAATCTGTTCAAGATCAACCCACAACAATTACAGAGAAAAGCACTTCTTCACCTATAATGCTGAGAAGAAAAGATTCTTTTAAAAACCAAAAGAACGATGAAGCTCTAAAGGAAGATAACAGGTAAAATAAGGACTGTATTTCTGTTTTTTTTAAATATGCCGCCGAACGGCACGGCGGTTTTCTTTGTGTATTTAGCAACAACTGCCAGTCTGTCCAACGAGAAGATCCTTGACAGTGATAGATGTGTCTGTCATTTTAATTTCAAAGTAGTTTATTTTATTTTACAAAGAAATAAGTAGGTACAACTGGAACGCATAGCAGGAAATTATTATATTTAAAATTTGACTGACAAGTGATTACTTCAAAATATTGTGAAAAAAACTGTATAAAACTGAAAAAATGTAATCGAGTTATTTAATTTAATAAAAAACTGTATGTGTTAATACAAATCAAACAAGAACAAGACACCACATACCAAAAAATATAAAAAAAAACTATTTCTTACTTTCAAGCTTTATGAAACTTTTATTGTATTTATCAGTATAACTTATGTACAAGTTTGTAATAAAAAAAACAACGCTCTATTGTACAAAAAGCCAAAACAGCTTCATCGACAAAGCAAAACAAAAAAAAAGCACAAAAACAAATATACAAATAATACAAAAAATGACATACAATACAGATCAATTCAAAAAAAAAATTTACGTCATAAAATTACAAATAAAACATATGGACATTGCAGAACACAGGCGTATCTAGGAAATTTTACAAAAGGAAAACTGTAAATGGATAAAATCATGTTATAATAACATAAAATCAAGAGTTATAAAATATTAAATACTAGACCTTTAACCAGTGTGTGAGATGATCAAAATATTAAAATTAAAATTCTAAATTGTTCATGATTAAACATCA